AGCTGGGTGCTGGCAGGCTTGCACCTGGCACGGGCACCGTAGCCAGCCCGTGCCCCTTTAAGGGGTCCGGGGCCGGGAGGGGGGCATAGAGTTTCCCTGGTGTTGGCCAGAGTGGCCACCAGGGAAACCTGGGGAGGGCTAGCCTCCCACTAGTTCGAATTAAGGGTCTACACAGCCCTTAATTCGAACTAGCTAGTTCGAACTAGGCTTAATCCTCGTAAAATGAGGTTTACCTAGTTCGAACTAAGCGCTCCGCTAGTTCGAATTAAATTCGAACTAGCGGAGCGCTAGTGTAGCGGCTATGAATGTTAGTTTGAACTAACGTCCGTTAGTTCGAACTAACTTTGTAGTGTAGACATACCCTAACAGACTTACTGGAGCATAAGTTTTCGTGGACAAAGACCCACTTTGTCAGATGCCGAATCTTGCATCTGACGAAGTGGGTCTTTGTCAACAGAAGCTTATTGCTCCAATAAATCTGTTAGTCTATAAGGTGCCACAGGACTCGTCGCTTTTGCAGGAGGTAAGTCATGTATTGGAATGCACGTGAGCAATCACTTGAAGAAGAAAAAAACGGTTACTTAGCTTTTGTAACTTGCTCTTTGAGATGTGTTGCTCGTGTCCATTTCACATCCCATCTGCCTCCCCTCTGATAGCCATTTGGCTGTGTGCATATACTTTTTTGTGTGTCGTCTTGGCTTGGGCAAATAGCCAACATAGCAGACTTCGAGAGAGCTCTCAAAGACCACAAAATTAGATAAGGATCAAAGGCACAAGGCCAGCTTTATTGTCAAATGAAGTACAGGTTGAACTTCCCTGGTCCAGCATCCTCGGGACCTGTGTGGTCCCGGATGAGGGAATTTGCTGGACCAGGGAAGGTCAGGTGTCCAGGCTCTCTCAGGGTCCCCCTCCTGGCTGCTGTCCTGGGAGAACCTGGGGGCGTGACCTCCTTCAGCCCACCTGCCTGGCTCTGATGCCCCCAGCCCGCTTATGGGGCAGCAGCTGCTCCTGGGGCTCCCCAGCCCTGTACAGGGCAGCAGCCACTCCCAGAGCTCCCTGACCTCAGCCACTGCCCCGTGCAAGGCAGCAGCCTCTCTTGCAGCTCTCTGCTCCCGCTGTCCAGCCCCGCACTGGGCTGCAGCTACTCTTGGAGCTCCCTGCCCCAGTCTCCCACGGGCTCTCTACCCCCAGGTCACTGGCTGTTCAGGCTGCTGCTGACTAGACCGACTCCCTTCTCAACCTCTGTGGCTGGGGCTCTCTGGTCTAGCAACAAATGTGATCCTGCTGGACCATGGATGTTGCCAGACCAGAGAGTCCTGGATGACAGAGGTTCAATCTGTGCAATAATAGTTGTTAGTAGACTTTACTGAACCACTACGCACGTGTACCCCCTGACAATGGACTCAGCTTGGTTAGTGCCATGAATGAGACCTTGCCCCTTGTTTGGCTAAGGGCAACTCTTTGGGGTGCACTTTTATACACAGGTGCAAACAAGTTACACATCACTTCTGATGAATTAGGTTGCCACTCTCTGTCATTACCTAGGACCACCCATTACCTTGTGTATAGGGGTTTAATTGCTAATTATTATGCTGTTTAGACGCTGTCCTGAACCTGGGGCATTATATTTCTGTTATCTGCGTGGGGGTGGTGTTGCGAGATTTTTTTTTAAGGAGGTGTTTTGTTATGATCCCTTTGGAATGTGCTTAGGCCGGTGCCTACTACCTCTTAGGTATGAGTGTTTCTGTGATATCAGCCCTCTTCTTGCCTACTTCTATGAGCAGGGCCTGCCTCTTGCTCACAACTTCACTTTGCTTTATATTAGCAAAGTCTTGACCATTGCTGTTTCAGTCTCAGGCGTCATACCTGGCCTGTGATACCTTGGCTTATGTTTCAGGCCCTCATCTTACTTCATTCCTCCTCCGTATCTGGCAGTTCCTTACGCTGCAAAAATAGAATGATATAAAAATTGAATGACTAATACTATGTTTTACTAATAGTTTATCTCCTTACAGGTAACACAGGTAGCAAGACAACCAGGACCTCCTGCTCCATCCCCTTACTCTGCACATGAAATAAACAAGGGACACCCAAATCTTGCTGCAACGCCACCAGGACATGCATCATCCCCTGGACTTTCACAGGTATGATAGGTGCTATTCAGAACTTTGTCTGTTCTTGTTTTTTCTTAGTTTTTTCCCTCTCAGCTTAACGAGCTCAATTTGGGTTTGAGTTATCTGCTTTCTGTGACCGGCATAAAATTGATAAGTGGGAGCATGCCATTTTAAAGCAACTCCCAACTCTGTAGTAAGTAGTGTGTCAGCTTACAGAAACTATTGGCGACATAGTTGAGTAATATCCCTATTTCTTCTCAAGCTGTTATGGGTTATGGTCCACTTTTGCTTGAACCATTACAGCAGTTCCTCACATATTGGTTCCATTGATTTTGCATGTTACATTTTTTACACCGTGCTGGGCAAAGCACTTTACAATTAATATTTAAAATAGTGAAATAAAGTTATAAAGATAAGTGCCAGATTGCATGGCAGATTGCAAATATTACAGATGGAGAGCGAAATAGAAATACTAGCATGGATGCTAACTAATAATGTTTGATTAGCAAATAGTTAAGAACAAATTAGTTTTTAGGTGTTTTAAAAGGCTTAGTGTTGTACTGGAATGAATGTGAAAGGGGGAGCATACACCATAAAAACGTGCAATAGAGAGAATGAGAAAAAGGAGATTGAGAAGGGAGATTGAATGAAGTGAAGATGGGTTGAAAATAGAGGAACACTGGTGGTGTGGAGCACTGACAAAATGAGAAATAGAATCTGAGGACTTGTCTACACAGAAACTGTGTGTGTATATTCACAAACTGGTTTTCTGCACGCTTAAGTTCATATAGATAAGCCCTTAATCTTAATATGGATTTCAGTTGTAATCAGTTGAGCAGATGTAAAAAATATTCATAGAATCATAGAACCATAGAGCTGGAAGGGATCTCAGAAGATCATCAAGTTCAGCACTCTGCCCTAGGCAGGACCAATTCCAACTAAATCAACCCGGTCAGGGCTTTGTCAAGCCGAGACTTAAACACCTCTAGGGATGGAGACTCCACCACTTCCCTAGGTAACCTATTCCAGTGCTTCACTACCCTCCTAGGGAAATAGTTTTTCTTAATATCCAACCTGGACCTCTCCCACCACAACTTGAGACCACTGCTCCTTGTTCTGCCATCTGTCACTACTGAGAACAGCCTCTCTCCATCCTCTTTGGAACCTCCCTTCAGGAAATTGAAGGCTGCTATCAAATCCCCCCCACCCTTCGCTTCTGCAGTCTAAACAGACCCAACTCCCTCAGCGTCTCCTAATAAGTCATATGCTCCAGCCCCCTAATCATTTTGGTTGCCCTCCGCTGGACCCTCTCCAGTGCGTCCACCTCCTTTTTGTAGTGGGGGGACCAGAACTGGACACAGTACTCCAGATGTGGCCTCACCAAAGCCGAATAAAGGGGAATAATGACATCTCTGGATCTGCTGGCAATGCTCCTCTTAATGCAACCTAATATGCCATTAGCCTTCTTGGCTACAAGGACACACTGTTGACGCATATCCAGCTTCTCATCCACTGTAACCCCCAGGTCCTTTTCTGCAGAACTACTACTTAACTGGTTGGTCCCCAGCTTGTAACTATGCTTGGGATTCTTCCGTCCCAAGTGCAGGACTCTGCACTTGTCCTTGTTGAACCTCATCAGATTTCTTGTGGCCCAATCCTCCAATTTGTCTAAGTCACTCTGGACCTTAGGCATTGGTCAGGCATTAGTCTGGTGTGCATTAGTCTGGGAGCCCACCTTATCCATGAATACAGAGGCAAAGAAAGCATCGAGTACTTCAGCTTTCCCCACATCATCTGTCACTTGGTTACCTCCTTCATCCAGTAGGGGCCGCACATCCTCTCTGATCACCTTCTTCTTGTTAGCATGCCTGTAGAAACCTTTCTTGTTATCCTTCACATCCTTAGCCAGTCGCAATTCCTTTTGCAGTTTCGCCTTCCTGATAACCCCCCGGTATTCTCGAACTATACATTTAAACCCCTCCCTGGTCATATTAAACCATGAGATACTCAGGAAGTTAAGATGGGCAGTGGAGTTCTGAACAAGATCTGTCAGTTTACAGGAGAAAGGAGGAAGACCAGTTGTGGAAGGGTTGGGGTATGGTTGTGTCCAGAGGACAGGATAAGATATAGTAAGAGATTCAAGCTTACTTCAGGGCTTGGAAAAAACAATTAAAAATCTTGACAAATGCTGCTGAAATTTCTAATCAACTTCTCTAATGTTGGAGAAGTAGTAAAATACGATCCGCTTTTCAGTCTGTTTCAGTGTGTAAAAACAAATGAGGATCTGTGTGAAACATTTCAGTTTGTATAAATATGGTACATTGTAAGATTATAGAGCAAGCACCATGTATATGATACGTGGGTTTAAGCAGCTTAATAGAAACCTGAAGATCCATGGTCACCGGTGGATTCTTGTAAATGACCATCCTCGTGGAGGCCCAGCAAGTGGAAGCTGAAGTATTTTGTGGGCATTGGGGATGCTCTCCCCGAGCATTATCTTGTACTTTTATATTGCTGCAGCTTCTTATCCCTTCTCTGGTTTGAAGGCTGAGTTTCACACTAGAAAGAGAAACAACTGACAAGGGTGAATGAAGCAGGAGAAACCCCAATATCTTTTTTGACCTTTCTTGCATAGCAGCAAACTTATTCATGGTGAACTTGTGGACAAAGAGAAAGCCAATCCCTAAATGACATTGTGGAAGGGGAGGAAATAGAGTGACCTACACAAAGTTTTAAAATGTTAGCTAAGTTTTTTTCCTTGATATTTTCTTATTGAGACAATGTTTACAAAGAAAATGGGCTCTGTACCAGAATCCCTAGTCTAGACAGCCAGGAAGAATGTTTGTTTGCTGCCCAATTGACTCTTAGGCCTGGTCTGCACTACAGCAGGAGGATGAATTAAGATACTCAGTTCCAGCTATGTTAATGCATAGCTGGGGTCGACATATCTTTAATTGCGTTTATGTGCCGTACACACTGAGGGAGGTTGACAGGAGCAAATGCTCCTGTCAGCTTCCCACGCTCTTCATGACTGTGCGTAGTACAGATGCCGGCTGGAGCTGCCCTCAATGTTTGATTTATGGGTCTATATTAGACCCGCTAAATCGAACACCAAAAACTTGACCTCTGGAGCGTCCATCCACTGGTAACTATAGACATGTCCTTAGGGTCTTTGAAATTAGACTCGGTTTATGACAGGTGATGATGATTAGGAGAGGTGTGGCCTTATTACCTCCCCACCATCTTGGGAATACTTGCTGGTGATAGGAGAGAACAGTTCCTCTACTTGATTGTACCTGCCCCATGCATGGGTGGCATAAAGGAAGCAAAGCAAATGGACCAGATACTATTTAGCCCTAGTGCATGGATGGATTGTTTCTCTAGGTGGTTTTTGCAGCTCTTACACCAGTACATTGGACAAAAAGTGGCTACAAAGGTTGTTGAAATTAAAGCTTGAAATCTGTGGTCCAATAATAAAAAAGGAAAGGAAGAATAATACTTATTTTAATTGGTTTTCATTGTTTATGCTGATTGCCTTTAAACAGAGTTTTCTTGCTGTAGTGGGACACATCCTCTGACCCTCTTCAGTATAGGGTCTTCTATACTGACCAGATGGGGGCAACTAGAGTTTTGTATTTGGGCAAGCCTGGCTAGCTGTAGGCCTATCCATCAACTGCTCTCTAGAGTGTCCAGCCCTTGTGGGAGCTTCCATTCATTTCCTCAGTGGCAAATCTATTCTGTAGCTTTCTTCAATTCTGCACCAAGCTTTTATCTTGACTGCTTTTGCTCTCTTTTCTCTTGTGTGCCTTGGTTGGTTTCTTCACTGGGCAGAGTCCGTACTCCTCTGCCTGACTTGTTTCCAGGAGGAGGAATGAAAATGGAATTGACTCTCACTGATGGGTGAGTCATAGGGCTCCCCATCAGAGGCACCAGCAGCCTCTTCTGCTTTATGGGGAATCTCACTGTGGCATGGCCCTACTGGAGCTGGAAGACAGAGAAGTTTTGGGAGCAACTTAGAATCCCTACAAGCTGCGCTAGGCGCCAATCGAAAAACAGTGTAACAAATGAAATCTGCTGCTGTTCTGGCAGCGGTTTCACTTCAGAGAGCAAACCAGGATGGACGAGAAGCAGTAGCCCCTACATCAGGGGTGGGGAACTTACAGTCCATGGTTCAGATCTTGCACGTTCTCAATTTAATCTGGCCCAGGGGACATGGTCTCTGCAGTTGGCACGGCATATAAATGTGAGAGAGCTCAGGGCTATCCGCTTAGCATGTTGCATCTTCCACAGTTGTCTGGTCAGGTAATGCAGGTGTTGACAGACCACATGGACTTGATGTTCAAAGTCAACAGGTGAGGAGAATGCTCATCAGCCCGCAGTCGGGAAGCTTTCTACCTGTGGGACTTCTATAGCCCGCATGTGATCCACCTGGAAGTTGTGTATCTCCCCGGTATCAAAAGCACATTGAGAGATTGTGTCAGCAGGTCCTTTTGCTCTCAGCATGAGTGGGAGCTCTACTTTCAGGTCATCCAGATGCTCTTCCACAAGTGAGGCATTCCTCAAGTGGACCTGTTTGCCACTGCAGAAAATAGAAGTGACATCAGTTCTACTCTCTTCTTACCTTGCTATTTCTTTTCTGGAAGCTCTTATCTGATAACGCAGACACAGATGTAACAAGATGCAATTGCTGAAAATTGCAGCTAGACAAATTCAGGCTGGAAACAAGATACACGTTTTTTTACCATCAGGGGGATTAATTATTAGAATAACTTATTGAGGATTGTGGTAAAGTTTCTGTTAATGGCAGTTCTGAAATGAAGTTTAGATGTTTCCTAAAACTGTGATGCAACCAGGAATTAATGCAGGAAAGTTCTGTGGCCTGTGTTTCATAGGAGATCAGAATAGTTGATCACAGTAGTTCCTTGTGGCTTTAGAATCTGTGGGTATGTCTACACAGGAGTATTATTTTGGAATAACAAAATGCATGTCTACACAAATAATGTTGTGATGGAGGACTTCTTACTCTGATTGCTGTAGCCCTCATTTTTCCTTTGACTTCCTGCTGTATAGACCGCACCAAAAGCTGAATTAAGCTATTTCGACTTCAGCTACGCAATTGAAGTAGCTGAAGTTGCATATCTTAATTTGACTTTTGCCCTGCTGTGTAGAAAGCCTTGGAAGTCTATGAATGTTTAGAAAGTCTGCCCTCTGAATCTTATATTTATTACATTTGCCTTTTTATTTCCCGAACATCCGCACATAAGAACACAAGTTCACCTACAGCCTCAGTAAGGGCCATCCTTAGGGTTTATGGGGCCTTACCCAGTTCTATGAAATTGGCACCCTTGTGCCCAACAGCAGCCTGGCACAGGTGGTGATTTTTAGAGATGTTATTTTATAATCTTAGCAACACTTTAATGAAATATTTTAAAGTACGTTTTTAAACTAAGGTCCCGCACATAAGAACACAAGTTCACCTACAGCCTCAGTAAGGGCCATCCTTAGGGTTTATGGGGCCTTACCCAGTTCTATGAAATTGGCACCCTTGTGCCCAACAGCAGCCTGGCACAGGTGGTGATTTTTAGAGATGTTATTTTATAATCTTAGCAACACTTTAATGAAATATTTTAAAGTACGTTTTTAAACTAAGGTCCTGCAGACTTAACAGAGTGAATTCAGAAACTGTCAGTATGTACCTGGGGTTGGCAAATGCCTGTTAAATGGCTTCAGTACCACTTGACTGGCTTTTTCACAGGTTCAATGTTCTGCTAAAAGATCTGGCAGGCTCCTTTACTTTTAAATTGACTAGATCCCTCTGAGGAAAGCAGAGCCACAGAACAGCGATAGGAAGATGTTGTTAGATACTAAGATCCCGTGGTGCCTCAAATTTTTGGAGGCCCTACACAGCTGCATATTACATGTATGGGTAAAGATGGCACTGGTCTCAGGGAAGCAAGCAATAGGCACAGCTGGTGGCAATCAGTGCAAGTGTTGGCCAAAGGAGTCTGTAGAAGCAATGACAAAAAAAACAGGATTATGTAGCACTTTAAAGACTAACAAGATGGTTTATTAGGTGATGAGCTTTCGTGGGCCAGACCCACTTCCTCAGATCAAATAGTGGAAGAAAATTGGCACAACCATATATACCAAAGGATACAATCAAAAAAATGAACACATATGAAAAGGACAAATCAAATTTCAGAACAGAAGAGGTGGGGAAAGTTAGATGTCTGTGAGCTAATGATATTAGAGGTGATAATTGGGGAAGCAATGGGCAGTCTTGCAGCCATTGACTGGAGAGAAGCAGCACTTTGAAGGGGAAATCGTCAGTTCTCTCCAGCCAATGGCTGCATGGACGCCCTCTGCTCCTGAGGAGTCCTCCAGCCCACTCTTGTGCTGCTCATCACCTCCATGTGAGCAGGGACTGGGTACAGTCGGTGGGGAGACAGCTCAGGAGCCGATGCAGAGTCCATGGGGGGAGAGTGTGTGGAGGGGGAGGGGAGTGTGTGGCAGCTGGGGAATGCCCAGAAGTCCCCTTCAGAATCTCCACCTACCTCCTCATCCTCCTCTATGGGAAAATTTATTCCGAGTTCCAAACAACAAACCTACAAATGAACTTTTGGAACACAACCTGTTCTTAAGTGGGAGGCTTCCTGTCTCATAAGTGATTTGGAGACTTGCAAACTTATAAGAGATGTTAGTTCTCTCCCCAGTAGCCATACATTTCCACTGAATTTAAAAATTTTTTTTAGCCCTATCAAGGAATAAAAGTTCAGCAATAGGGAACCAAAAGCATTCTCATTTGATTAAATTGTATGTTTAGACTTCTTGTGATTTGGTCCAGGGCTCAAGGAGAAAGTGGTGGTAGAATTCATTTTGCCAGCGTGGTGAGAGCATAGGTAACTTTTATTTTCCATGTGCTTAAAGCTGATAGTTGTAAATTGAACTTACATTGTCATAAATTACTGTTCTCTCAATGCTAAGTCTAGATCAGCTGTTCAGTCAAAGGAGTAGTATTCCAATCTTTGTTTAATTAGTGGAATTCCTGAGCACTCTTCCTCCAGATGAGATGATCATAACTGCTTGCTAGCTTCCTAAAGTGAGTAACTTGTAGAAATGCTGCCATGAAGGAGAAGAAAAGGTTATTAATAGGAATGTTGGTTCTCCAGTTGTAGTACCTCTGCAAATGAGGGGCACTCAGTACTTACTTCCTCCCATGTGCTTCAGAGTTTGAATAGTATTCCAGTAGGTAGAGTAGAATTGAGCAATACTTACAGATGGTGGAACTTCTGTTTCGATAGGTCAGGAACGTTAGATCTGAGATATAAGTGTCCCCTCATTGCCCTCACTACTAAAAAAGGATCCATGTCTAACAAGGCACATGTTTTTAAAACATGGCTCTCTTATAGGGGCTTTGAAGATTAGCTAATACCCGTGAAATGCTACTAAATCATAGAATTAAGTATCCATGATTGGTTCAAATAAAGTGGAGACCTATAAAAATGATGCAAAATGGCTGGGCAGAATGGCTCCTGCCAGTGCTTTTTTTGTGATGGTACTGCCTGGTCAGTACTCAGTACCGGCACCTCCAGACATAGTTCCAGCACCTCCAGTCAGAGCTTACCTGGAAAGAATGAAGCGTACCGGTACCTCTGTATGCAAATGTCCGACAGTCAGCTGGGCCACATCTCTTAAAAGGGAAATGCCGGCCGCATCCCGGCTTTTTTGTTTCTCAACAACTTTTCCTCTGGAGTAATACCGGCACCTTTTTTATTTTATTTTTTTTTTTCACAAAAAAAAGCAATGTCTCCTGCCCCCTTTAAATATTTCCAAATGCATGTATGGAAGATTGCCACGTAATAGTGTGTAGTGGTATTTAGAGCGTTCCAACACAGGCTTCCAAGAACAGTGATTAAAGAGCAATGGAATGCATGCTGTATCTTGTGGGAAAAGGTGTGCGTGTTTTGTCAAACAAATCTAGTAGAGTTTTATTTATTTTTCTTTGAAATAAACACCAAAAGAAAGTGTACTGCTATTAATGGTTATTTCCCCCTCTTTTGACTGTTTTTTTCCAATTAAATTATTGCTCTTGTTTTATCTATACAGCTGCTGATGTTTGCCTTTAGAATGACTTAAAACCAGCCCCAGCGAGTCCACTGCCCTTCAGAACGGCTTCTGTTGCAAGAGTAGAAGAACTCTGCAGCAATGAAAAAGTTTCCCAACCCCAGGATCCACTGCAAAAGGCATTCTGCTTCTCTCTGCCTTTTCAAAATTCCATGGCCTTGAAATCACACTTCTGTTTCTGGAATGTCTTTAACTCCTGTAATTCATTGAAATGCTCAGCATGTGTGATCTAGAAATCTGAAGGCAAGGTGGAATCTGGAGTGATATTTCAGGTTCTGTAATCAAAGAATCATAGAATCCTAGGGCTGGAAGAGACCTCAGGAGGCATCGAGTCCAACCTGCTGCTAAAAGCAGGACCAATCCCAACTAAATCATCCTAGCCAGGGCTTTGTCAAGATGGGGCTTAAAAACCTCTAAGGATGGAGATTCCACCCCCTCCCTAGGGAGCCCATTCCAGTGCTTCCCCACCCTCCTAATTTCCATTTCTTTGCACTAAGAGACTCCCAGTAATCAAGAGTTTGGGGGAGAGGCTGAAACCTCTTCTCTCCCACCTACCCTCCTCAGTTACAGATGTGGAAAGAAGTAGACTGGCAGTAACACACACTGGCATCATCCAGGATACTGTGTACTGGGGAGAAAAGACACAAAGCTTTTTCATCGGTCTTTAGCTGTTGGAAAGGAGGAACCAGAAACTGAAATGAAATCTGGAGTCTAAAAGTAGGGAACAAGAAGGTCACTGTGTTAGAAATACAAACCATCTTCCCACTCTCCAGTACCTGAAGGAGGCAGGGCTGGGCTTCTCCTCGGGACCTCTGTTTTTGATAGCTACCCGTAGTTATGAGGTTCAAGACCTGGGAGGAGGTGGTAGGAGAGAGACAATGGAATTGCTTTGGCCAGATTTGGGGGCATGAGTTGCCAATCTCAACAGTGACTGGGAAGAGAGAAAAACCTTCCTCAGTCAGGGTTAGAGGAGAAAATGGAGCTCCACCAGGAATTGGAGAGAAAAAAACTCTTCAGATGTTGCTGCTGTCTGTAATTATTCAAAAAGAACAGGCAGAGAATAGAAAATACCATCTACACCTTGCCAGGAGGAAGGGAGAGAGTGAGTAGAGCATCTGTATGCACAAATTCTCTCTCTCTCACTCATTCTTACCCTTTCAATCTCTCTCACTCTCACTTCAGCAGCCAGGAGGGAGGAGGGACAGAAGCTTTCAACCCCACCCAAGAGCCAACAGTCTTTTTGAAGATCCAAGGGATCTGGTGCAAAGGATTCTGGGATGTGGGATGGTGAGTCACAAGAGCAAAAAGGTTGAGAAATGCCCCTCCAAAAAGCATCTGCTCCTTGCTTATGTTGCCTTAAAAAAGCTGGTTCAGACTTGTGATGTTAGGGATTTGTTAGGTTGGCATCACTGCTTGCAGGGATTCACTGACAACTGGGGAACAAATTATATATTTTTTTGTAAACATGGAATGCTTTAGGTCCTTTTTTCAACATTCTGTGTACACAGGAATAGGCCTGGCCTTTGAGCAAAGCGAGCAAAGCGGTTGCCTTGGGCCCCGCGCATTCAGGTTCTCCGTGCTGCCCAGCTCCTGGCCCTGTCCACCCGGCTGCTCACTTGCTGCCGTGACTGGGAGCTGCGCAGCCGTGCGGCTCAGCCATGCTGCCTTGGGTCCTGCGAATTCTTTGGCCGGGCCTGCACAGGAATCACTGTTTTGTGTCCAGGTACCGTGACCAATTCTAAAATAGTTAAACATTCTGTTAGCCACAGAGCCAGTAGTATGTAACACAGATTTGCTCCAAAGATGTCGCAGTTACAGACAAATAATAATTCACATTGTAGATACATGCACAGGAACTGAATTCTCACAGGATTGGTATTTAAGCCTTCCACTTGTAGGGGACTGGTTCAGATTCAGAAGAGGTCTGTACTAACTGAAAGCTGTTACAATTTGGTGGGTCTTTGACTTCGGTGAGGGGAGTATTGTGGTTGCATGGTAGCTGTAGTCGTTCCCATTGGGAGTTAGTTTTCGTACTGGCATTCAGACGTGCCCAGCACCTTTAAAGTCTGAGGGATCTTTTGCCAGCAAAGACACCATCATATGTGGCACATTTAGGTGCTAACTTCACAGCTAACTTAAGTTCCTTTATCTGATGTTGGATCCTTCTACAACAGCAGAAACTGTCTTGTGTCTAGGATGTTTATTCAGCACAGTAAAATTCAGGCAATAGTTAATTTGTTTAATAACTGAAGAAAATAAGCACATAACAGTACTTAACATTAATCTGAACTAGTCTTGGTCCATTAAAAGCCATGCTATCAGGTGCTATGAGACTCAGATACAAACATTAAAGATTTAGACCTTCTGTTTTTACAAGCAGTCTTGTTCTCCTAATCTGTGGCTCACTGTCTAGGAGTACTTATCAGTGACCCTCTGTAGTTTATATCCATATACATTTTATACTTCCTTTTTTCTTTGCAACATCAGCAAAGTTTTCCTAGGTGAACTAAGGTATGATGTCTCCTTTATCTCATTTTTGCAAACAACACATGTTTTCAGTTTCCTTCATGCATTTTGAAGCCTATGCTCAAATAAATGTGTTAGTTTTTAAGGTATCATAGGAGTCCCTGTTGGTTTTGCTGAAACAGACTAATATAGCTATTCCTTTGAAACTTTTGAAGCTGTATAAACTGTGATGCATTTAAAATGATCTGCACCCCTTTCCAGGAATATTTGGCAAACACCTGAGTTAAAACCAGTCCCTTTAGTGATCCAGTGAACTCTCTACCATAAGGGTTCTTCCTGTATAGGAAGCCTGGGGGTTTTATGAAAGATTACATTATAAACGCTTCCACACTGATAAAAATAGAACATGGTGAGTCATTGTGAAAGGTTCATCTTCACTTCCTTCCAACTGCCAGTGACTGTCTTCGGAGAAACTCCTCTCTTGTGTTCACAGATGATTCCATAGTGGACTCTTTTCTTCTCTCCCCGAGCCCAGAGGCTGCTTCAGTTGCAGGGCTTCAAGCCACGTGGGTCCTGCCTCAAGCCCGTTCTGAAGAAAACCCTTATGACTCCTCTCTCACATGCATTGGAGAAGGCCACCAGTCCGACAGGTGTAAGATTTGAGGGGCTTTAAGTCCAGGGCAAATAACAAGCAGGACTGTGGGCTGAAATGCCTTCTAATGGAGTCAGCTCTTTGCCCCCAACCAGCCCAGATGATATTGGACCTGGCACCAGGCACTTCTGTGTGTAATGTGCTGGCCTTGGGGTGGGAAGTCACGACGTTGAGACGAGGACTCCTCTAAGGAGGCCTGCTATCAAGAACCAGCTCCAGTATGAGGCACTGCTAGCAATTTCTGGTGCTGCCCAAAAAGAAGAGGCTGCCTCTCCCATACCAATGCATTGTAGCATGCAGTCACCAGCAGGGTGTGTCCTGCGTTGGGACACCCAAACTCAGGCCCACCTATGCCAGCACTGTTGACTCTGGCCTTGTGGGGAGCTCCATCAAATTTGGTTCTGGTGGACTCTCTGTTGTGGGAGGAGCAGGAGGAGGAACTGGATCTGCCTGCAAACACATTTGAGGCAGCATGAGACCTTATTGCCACAAGAGTGCAAACTCCCCACTGGCCCATGCTCTGATGCCAGCAGTGGCAACAACAGCAGCGCTGGCCGTTGTCCATTATAGGGCAAGCCTAGTAGGATGCAGAACCGCTTGCCTTCATGGCGGTACCATTGCTCGGTATCATCTAGGTCGTCAAGCACACTCAGAGGTGCCATCATCCCAGTCTACAGCTCCTTAACCACAATTTTGAATAGTGGGTTGAAGGTTTGAATAACCTTCCATATGTTGCAACCAAAACACCTAAATGACATTGACTCTGGCCTTTTCTACCACAGCTGGGCCTCCATAGCATCAGACCAGTGGATTTTGGAAATAATCAAATCCAGATATATTATCCTGATAATTTCCTGGCCATTAATTCTAACCCGTTCCCTATTCTTTTCACAAGCATGGTCTATGATTATCTCCTACAGCTAGGTGCCATGGCATAAGTTCCTCCACAATTCAGACGGAAATTATTTTACTGTTTCCCAAGCCAGAAGAAAACTGGGGGTTTAAGACCCATCCTGGATTTATGAAAACTCAGTTTATTCATGAGATCCCAAAAGTTCAAAATGACCACACAAGGGGACTGATTTTCATCTCTCAACTTAGAAGACACATGCTTTCACATAACGTTTCACCCAGCTCACAGGAAATTCCTAAGATTCACAACAGACCCAGAACATTTCCAATATAGAGTACAACCATTCCGCCTAGCCACTTCACAGAGAGTGTTCTCCAAAACTCTGGCAGTGGTGGCAGCACATATACAGAAATAGGTCAGAGTGTTTTTTCAATATCTAGTTGATTACCTAATCAAAGGACTGACCTTCTGAGACATGGTGGACATGGTCCAAATGATGATCACACTATAGTTAGCGTTAGAAATAAATGAACAGAAATCAACAATAACCCCAGTATAACAACTGGAATTCATCGGAGCACACCCTGATGCCATAGCAGCCAAGCGCTGCTATCCAAGATGAGATCCATAAACCTAAGGAGCCATAAATCAGTCTACAAGTTCAAGTTCACACAGTGCTTCAACTTCTATGACAAATAGCAGCCACAACATTCGTGGTGTACTATGCAATATAAACATCTCAGCATATTACCTGCCATGTCACAAGAATGTGACAATGGACATATTCAGCAGATACTTCTCTCGAGATCAGGGGATGAACTGAGAAGCTCTAAACTTAATTTTCCACAAATGAGGCACACCCACCTTGATCTGTTTGCACCCCAAACCGAAAATTACCTTTGTTCTGCTCAAGAGAGGGACTGGGATGATCACTAGGGGATGCTGTCCTTATCAAATGAAGGGGCATGCTTCTGTACTCAATCCTACTGACAGTGGTTATTGGTCGCATAATCCACAAAATACAAAACAATGAGGCAAAAGCTATCCTCATGCTCCCAAACTGGCACTGACAGGTGTGGTATCCTTACCTATTACTCATAGCAATATGTGCACCAAGAGATCTCTCTCACCAGATTTACTCTCTCAAAACAAAAGCAACAAGGAGTCCTGTTGCACCTTATAGACTAACAGATGTATTGGGAGCATAAGCTTTCGTGGGCAAAGACCCACTTCGTCAGATGCATGGGTGGAAATTTCCAGAGGCAGATATAAATATGCAGGCCAGAATAAGGCTAGAGATAACGAGGTTAATTCAGTCAAGGAGGGTGAGGCCCACTTCTAGCAGCTGATGTGGAGGTTGGAACATCAAGAGAGGAGAAACTGCTTTTGTACTTGGCTAGCCATTCACAGTCTTGGTTTAATCCTAAACTGGTGGTCTCTCAAAACAATGGGTGTCCCTTCATCCGAATCTAGAGATACTTCACTTTAGGGCATGCCTAATATATGGTTCCATCCTGATGAACTCACCTGCTCTACACAAATAAAACACATGTTTCTGAATAGCAGGAAACACAATGGGCAAAAAACTTAACTTAAAAAAAATTGAAGAGATTCTCCACTTGGTGCCAGAGAATCATAGAATCATTGCACTGGAAGAAACCTCAAGAGGTATCGAATCCAGTCCCCTGCCCTCACGGCAGGACCAAGCACTGTAGATCACCCCTGACAGATGTCGGTCTAACCTGCTCTTAAATATCTCCAGGGATGGAGATTCCACAACCCCCCGAGGCAATTTATTCCAGTGTTTAACCACCCTGACAGTTGGGAAGTTTTTCCTAATGTCCAACCTAAACCTTCCTTGCTGTAATTTAAGCCCATTGCTTCTTGTCCTATCCTCAGAGCCCAAGGAGAACAACTTGTCTCCCTCCTTCATGTAACACCCTTTAGGTACTTAAAAACTGCTATCATTCCCTCTATCAATTTTCTCTTTTCTAAATTAAACAAGCCCAGTTCTTTCAGTGTTCCCTCATAGCTCATGTTTTCTAGACCTTTCATCATTTTTGTTGCTCTTCTCTGGACCTTCTTCAAGTTCTCCACATCTTTCTTGAAATTTAGTACCCAGAACTGAACATTATACTCTGAGGCCCAATCAGCGCAGAGTAGAGCGGAAGAATGACTTCTTGTGTCTTACTCACCACACTCCAGTTAATGCCGCCCAGAATCATATTTGCTTTTTTTGCAACAGCGTCACACTGTTGACTCATGTTTAGCTTGTGGTCCACTATTACCCCTAGATCCCTTTTTGCGGTTCTCCTT